CCTTGTTTAGCGGCTGTTTTGTATCAATATCAAAAGAACTGGCCTTTCACCACTTCGCGGGCCCCTTGAGCTGCCCGTAACTGCCCTCTAATATAGAAGTGCGTAAAGCAGCGTCCCGCTGTTCTTCAGTATTTCGCTTGTCGCTTGCTTAACGCAGAGCAACGTCCGATAGCGGGGTCTATGATGTCGCGACTATTGTTTCATGTTGTAGAAATACAGAACTCCGAATATACCTTATTAAGTAACAGTGGCACCGGGTAAGTTCTTGTTTGTAATAGCCTCAGAGTAATGACCTGAGCTCTGTTCAGCTTACTGTGTGGAAGGGAAGAAGACCCTGCGTCCTATGTAGAAGTGTTTGGTTAGCATATCTTACAAGGAAAGGACCCCTGCATTCTGTAGAAATGTTTGGTTAGCTCATCGTACGAGCAGAGGGTCCCTGCATTCTGGAACCTCAGCATCTTGATGCCTTGTGTCTGCATAGTTCTCAGCTCCTCGTGCAGGATTGTGGGCTGATTCATTCGGGTTCACGACAGCACCATTGATTTCTCTCATGTTATCAGGAAGCCAGATAGCCATGTGCAGTTTGACTGCTTTTTCTTTGAGCATTTCCAACGCCTCTCTAGAGATTACTCCTTTTGCAAATACTCAGGTGGCTGCCCTAGAATCTTGTGAATCTTCGATCAATTTGGCTCTAAAAGTGTCAGTTAAATGGCTGGTTACTTGCTTGGCAGCTTCTGCTTTCGTGGTGTTGGTGGAAGCCGAGTTGAATAGTTCACGTTTGCCGTTCATAAGTACCGTTGTGAAGGCTCGTTTAAAGGACATGAACTCCACGGCAAGAAACGAGCGATCCTCCACCTCATTTTTAGCTTTTTCTACCAAGCCTTTGGCTCTAGATTTTTGTCGCTTGTTGTCGGAGTTGCCGCTTTGCACTTCAAGAGCACTTTCACAGGAAGAGCGCTTTCACGATTGCTTTGTAATGTTTCGCTCAAGAAAAAATTACACCACACTCTTTCCGTAAGCTTCACATGGCATCGGTTCTTATGGTACGTGGGAAAATTCGCCGATTTTTGTTAAAGGCTGATATTTAAAATCTGTTACCCTTTTTTGGGCCTTATATATGAACACACACACAGAGATATATTCTGTCGTGGGAATTGACCTCTTCGGGTCTCTTGCAACTACCTCAGATGGCAAGCGATGGATCGTCACCATGGTTGATCACTTGACCCGGTACGCTGAGACAGCCTCAATCACTTCAGGAACTGCTTCCGAAGTAGCAACTTTTTTCCTGAATGCTATGTACCTACGTCACGGGGCCCCTCATGTTCTTTTTAGTGACCGAGGCAAGACATTTCTTTCAAGCACGCTCAGTGAAGCTCTTCAAGCATAAAAAACAGTTAATAAAACAAGATCTAGCTTTCACCCACAGACCAATGGTTTAACAGAGAGATTTCATTGCATGCTGTGCGGCATGCTGTCCATGTATATCCCACCTGTCCATCGTAACTGGGATGCTATTCTTTCCTTTGTCACGTATGCATATAATACGTCAGTTCGATGAACCACAGGCTATCCTCCATTCAGTATACAGAAGCCAACCGACAACACCACTCGACGTTTCTTTTCTGGCCCTGTGAACTCTTCGCCATTTGTTTGCGACCAGTTTCTGTCCCGTGTTGCTCAATGCCGTCGTCTTGCTCGTGTAAACACCGAAGCTAGCCAAGAATAAGGCAAACATCGTTATGATCCCACTCACAACTTCGTTTTCCACCGACCTGTAACGATGTACTTCTATGGACAACCTGCACGATCTCCTCGCTTAAGCGAGAAGCTTGAGTCGCGCTATCTTGGTCCCTACGAACTTGTAGAACAGACACCACCGGTGAACTATCGTGTCAAACCTGCTCATGTCCCCACTCACAAACGCTGCCGCGGGACAGAGATCGTGCAGGTTTCGCGTCTCAAGCCCTGTCGTATGCGTTCCACAGCGTAATTCGCGGCAAGGCTGGCCGCTTCCGCCCGCAGGGGAAATTAGTGTAAGGATTCATTACACTTCATAATGTGGAAATATATGAGCACTTATTATTTCCACCTTATGTTGAGCCAACTGGTCCAGCATTCCACATTCTTAATCATTACACTTGTAAAGAGTTTTATTGGGCGAACCTAACGGGCAGGTGGAAGATTCGAGATTGCGACAGGACGAGGAAGATGGTAGAGTGATGCTTGTTGTTCCCTGGTGTTGTCATAATTCCTTCATTATAATTGCCCCCGTCGAGAAAGATGAAGCCATCCTGGCGATTTAACAGGTGGGAACGAGCGGGTCTAAGTACGGCTCCAAGCGGTAGACGTGAACAATATTGTGTCCACACCGACCATGGTCACTGAGCGGCATAAGCGGTTCATTGGCGTAATTGTCGGGCGATGTGCGTTCTATCATGTGGTATGGACCATGGTAATTTGAAAGCAGCTTGGTAGACAAACCAGGTTCACAGGGTTATACATACAGCCATACAAGAGTTCCAGGGGCGAACTTCAAGGCAGGAGGGTGGTCGTCATTGCGGGCCTTTTTCTGGCGTTGCTGGTCAGCCGTAGTAAGCTGCTTCGCTATTTGGCGGCATTCTTCGGCGTGAGAGGTGGCTTCGGACACGGTCGTGCACTCAGACACACCTGGTGCGTATGGCAGCAAAGTGTCATTGTGTGCGATGGTTGACGTCCGTACAGAAGGAATAATGGGGAAAAGCTGGTGGTGACTTGGATAGCTTGTTGTACGCGTAGGTCGCAAACAGAAGAACCAGGTCCCAGTTCGTTTCGTCAGATGCCACATGCGTCGCGAGCATGTCACCCAGGGTACGATTAAACCGCTCAGTCAGGACATTCGTCTGAGGGTGGTAAGCAGTACTCATCCGGTGTACAATATAGCACTGACAAAGAAGTGCTTAGATTAAGTCAGATAGTAATACACGGCCCCGGTCACTGAGGAGCTCGCGAGGAGGGCCGTGACGCAACACAAACCGAAGGAGGATAAAAGATGCAACGTCCTGAGTTGTCACCGTAGAAGAGCAGCGGTTTTGGCGTACCGTGTCAAGTAATCTAGAGAAACGATAGCGCACCCGTTAGCTCTGTGCTCAATGGCAGTGCTCCATAAAGGTCAATTCCGACGCGATCGACTGGGCAGTTGGGTCGTAGAAGCGGCTGTAGTGGAACTGCTCCTGGATTCGGTGGCTGTTTCCGTCACTGGAACTCGTGGCAGCCGCGAATTAACTGTCAAAGAAAAGTAAACATCCCACGCCAGTAATGCCGCTTCCTTAAACGTTCGTAGGTCTTGAACAAACCGCCGTGAGCGCATTGCGGGTCGGAGTGAAATAATGCACAGATTGCAGAGCGCAGCTTTCGGGGAATAACGAGCAGCCACTTCCTGCCGTCTGGTGAGTAATTGCGCCGGTACAAGAGGCCACCTCGAATGGTGAAGTGCGAAGCCTGGCGTTCCATTGCTCGAATGGTTGGAAGGGTCGGTACCCCACATAAAACGTCCAGAAGCGAAGTTATCCATGGAACGTCGCGCTGTGCAGAGGACATTGTGTCGATGTCAAGAGCTGAAAGCGCGTGTTCTGTAGAAGATAAAGAGGCAGCGTCAGTAGACAGTCGTGATAGCAAGAGCACATATATTCTGGTTTATCGCATTCTTCTGCAATTTCTTTCACGTTTTTTCAAAGGAACATTATTATTGTTCCTATCTAATTTCTCTTTATTTTTTTATTTTTTAGCAAGCGTTGTAAAAATGATCTATTATGAGGTACAGTGTGGCCAATCCCCAATGTGGGTATGAGCCAAGATCTCCTAGGAGACAAGACAAGACAAGACATCAGCATCGACATGTTGGCAGCCGGAACGGTACACGACGTGTATGTCATACTCTTGAAGCCGCAGAGTTCAACGAGCAAGACGACCTGATGGATCCTTCAGCGACGACAACCAACATAAGACATGATGGTCTGTAAATACAGCAAACGTGTGGCCATAATAAGTATGGGCGAAACTTGACAATCGCCCAAAGTATGGCTAAGCACTTTTTCGGTAACACTGTAGTTTACCTCAGCCTAGTTGAGCGTTCTGCTGGCATAGGCGACGACATACTCAGGGGATCCAGGCTTGCGATGAGCGAGAACTGCACCGAGACCGACCCCACTGGCGTCTATATGGATCTCAGTTGCAGCCGTGGAATCACAGTGGCGCAGTATAAGCAGTGGTGTCAGGAGATGGCGAAAAGTGGTAAATGCGTGATCACACTCGGAAGACCATGACGGCATGTCGTTGGCACTGCTTAAAAGTTGGGTCAAAGGGACAATTATGGACGCAAAGTTGCGCACAAACCGACGAAAGTAGGAGCACAATCCCGAAGCTGCGTAACTGTTTTACAGTCGTTGGTTCGGGGAATTCAGCGACAGCGCGTAGTTTAGCTGGGTCGGGAAGAACGCCATCTTTTGATACGACGTGATCGAGAATGGTAAGCTTCCGAGCAGCGAAGTGGCATTTCTTTAATTTCACTTGGAGCTGCGCATTCTTCAGACACGTGAGGACATGTTTCAGGCGTACAAGATGTGTTGCGAAATCGGGTGCAAAGACGACGACATCGTGGAGGTAGCAGAGGCATATGTTCCATTTCAAACCCGCAGAACCGAGTCCATCGCGCGCTCGAATGTGGCCGGCACATTGCAGAGGCCGAAGGGCATGACATTTAACTCATATTTATATGGCCCGTCCGGTGTCACGAAGGCTGTTTTAGACGATCGGCATCTGCTAAGGGCACCACCAATACCCCGAACGCAAATCTAATGGCGAAAAAAAAACTCGACACCTTGCAAGCAATCAAGGGACATCAATCCTGGGCAAAGGGTATACGTCTTTGCGAGTGATCCTATTTAAGCGCCTGTAATTAACGCAAACACGAATTGTACCATTCTTCTTCTTAACAAGAACGACAGGTGATGCTCATGGACTTTGGGAAGGTCGGATAACGTCGCACTTGAGCGTATCGCCAACCTGTTCGGTCATAACCTGACGTTCCGCGACAGATGATGATATATGGTGTTTTTTTGGCGCAAGGGCCATTTGATGGCCAAACAGCGCCAGTTCATGGGACAAGGAATGTGGATAATGATTGTGATTAGCGGCTTTAAAAGAGCCATAAACTTCCTCGCAATAAGGCGGGTAAAAACATACAAGTAATAAAATCATGACCATGCCGTGAAAGGTGTGTGTGGTGTGAATAGGTGACAAAAGTTGGTGATAATGTAAAATGATGGTGGACATGTATGGCATTAGCACAAGTACCTCACTCGTTCATACCCTTGCGTCCAAGGGCCGTGAAGCAAGTGCTTTCCTGTGTAGCCACCGCAGCAAAAACCTCTCTGGAGAGGTCGTGCTACGGAATGCCCGTGTATATGATATGAAAATTATGAATTTCTTTTAAAAACGCTAACAATAATTTATGACTAAAAGCGGTTTCCTACCAACAAACATTACAGGATGTAAAGATATTTGTTGTCGGTAGGGTAATGGAAAATGCTGTTTTCTTAGAGTTTCTAAGTGTTTGCACTGAATTAACATGTGAAAGACTTTTAATGCTTCACCACAGTCCCACAATGGTGGATCGCCACCGGACAAAAGATACGTATGTGTCGTGTATGTGTGCCCTATCCTGAGTCTCGTTAGTATTACCTCTGTATGACGCGATTTTGATATGACGCGTCTTTGGGGTGTGGCTTAATAATGTGTAGTTTGTTTTGTGTGTGTGTATCCCACTTGCTCTGCCAGTAGTCCCTGAGGTTTCGTTTGAGAGACGGCTTAAGATCAAGGGCGGGGATTAATATGGGTGTAGGGGCAGTGCTTTTGTGGATGGATGCAGCGAGCTGATCCGCCCTCACGTTGCCTTGGATCTCACGGTGCCCTGGCACCCAGCACACTACAACATGTTGTTTGAGTGTGTAAAGTGTGCACAAAATGGAGTAAAGTGAGACAAGGACCGGGTTTTTTTTTGTTTTTTGAGACCGTGCAGAGCCCTTACCACACTGAGGAGTCTGTATAAATTACTGCTTTTTGTATTTGTAAATGTTTGATGTGTTTAGCTGCAACAAGTATCGCGTAAGCTTCCGCTGTGAAGATACTTGTGCCTGGTTGTAGAGGGCCAGCATCCGAAAAGGATGGGCCGACCACAGCGTAGGACACAAAGGAGTTAGACTTGGTGGCATCTGTAAAGACCTCAAGACGTGTGTATTTGTGTTGAAGTTCCAGGAAGTATGTTCGGATATGGGCAATAGGTGCATGTTTTGTAACTTCTAGGAAAGACACAGAGTCTATAGTCTGCCACTGCCACGGTGGTGGGTATGCTACAGGAGTTATTAAACTGTGTTCAAGTGACACTCAAGTTTCTTCAGCTAGACCGTTCAGGCGAACTGAGAAGGGCTGCCTCATCGAAGGCCTGTTTTGAAACAGAATGGAGCTCGACAGATCATTATTAGAAGAGTATGAGGGGTGCTTCTTGTCTGCTTTCACCTTAGGAAAATATACAAAGGACATATAAGTTCTCTGTAAATGAAGTGACCATTCATTTGACTCAACGTAAAAGCTTTCTACAGGGCTGGTGCGAAAAGCACCCGTAGAAAGGCGGATGCCCAAATGGTGCACGGGGTCCAGCATCTTCAAAGCACTTTGAGTTGCAGACTGATAAACAACGGCCCCATAATCTAAGCGGGTGCGAATGAGGCATCGATACAGATTCATGGGGCATTGCCTATCACTACCCCAAGTAGTACGTGACAACACTTCTATAACATTCATGGCTTTTAAACATTTTCTTTTTAAATACTTTATGTGCGGTACGACGGTCAACTTGTTGTGCAAGATTAAGCCTAAGAATTTATGCTCGGCTTTGACAGACAGACGTTGCCCATTCAGTCGAATGTCAGGTTCTGAGTGCATGCCTCTTTTTCGAGAGAACAAGACACACGTGCTTTTTTTGTGGGTTAAGTCGAAATCTCTTTTCGTCTGCGCATTTGGAGACTTGTTTAAACCCAGCTGAACCTGCCGCTCACACATTGCCAAGTTGCATGACTTGAAGCCAAGCTGAAAGTCGTCGACATATGTACAATAGAACATATTGTGGGGGATGGCCAAGTGCAAGGAATTCGTTTTGATAATAAAAAGTGTGCAACTAAGTACACCACATTGTGGCACGCCTGTTTCCTCGACAAATGTTTCGGAGAGAACACTGCCCACACGGACACGGAATGTCCGGTTTGACAGGTAACTTTCGATTATATGAAACATTCTTCTGCGCACACCAAGGTGGGACAGATCTCTTAGAATTGCAAAACGCCATGTTGTATATAAGCCTTTACGATATCGAGGAACACAGAGAGAAAATATTGTTTATGGACGAAGGCGTCTCTGATCTGTGCCTCGATACGAACAAGGTGGTCTGTGGTGTATCTACTTTCTCAAAATCCGCACTGAAATGGGTCGAGCAAATTGTTTGTTTTAAGGATATGTACAAGTCAGCAGTTTATCATTTTTTCCGAGACTTTGCACAAGCAGCTTGTAAGTGCAATATGCCTATAACTTGAAGCTAAAGAAGGGTCCTTGCCTTCTTTTCAAATGGGAATAATAATAGCCTCTTTCTTGGAGGTAGGGATAGTGCCAGAAAACCAGATAGCATTGTACAAACAAAGCAAGGTTTTTCGTGTTTCGGCTGGTAGGTTTTTTAACATTTCATACACCACACGGTCAGAACCTGGGGCAGAAGTACTGCAGGAGTTTAGAGATGTTTGGAGCTCAGCTAGACTGAAAGCTTGGTTATATGCCTCGTATCTAGCGGATTTGTGTTCGAGTTCCTGCTTTTCTATTTTTTTTCTGTATTTTTGGAAAGTGTCAGTATAGTGGGACGAGCTGGATACCCGTTCAAAGTGTGCACCGAGGAAGTTTGCCTGATCTTCCAAGGTATCACCCTGAGTGTTTACGAGTGGGAGAGAGTGTACTTGTCTTCCTGCTACCCTACGAACCATGTTCCAGACTTTGGCCTCTTGTGTATATAAATTTATCCGTGATAAAAACTTGTGCCAGCTTTCTCTTCTGGCCTGCCGACGCGTTCTCCTGCGTCGAGATTTTATTTTCGTAAAGCTCTCAAGGTTTTCCGCTGTCGGCGAGTTCCGCAGCAACCTTCATGCCATGTTATGTTCCTTTCGCGCATTCTGACACTCAGTGTTCCACCACGGTACGCGTCGTTTGCCGGGCAGTCCAGATGTTTGTGGAATGCACTTGGCTGCTGCGTCAGTAAGAAAAGGCGTGAAGTACTGCACAGCTTCATCTATGCCTAATCCGCATATGTCAGTCCAATTTAAGTGAGTAAGCTTTTGAAATTGTTTCCAGTCAGCTTTGTTTACCAGCCATTTAGGAACATGTGGAGGACATTCATATATTATTGGTGTACTGAAAACTAAAGGGAAATGGTCAATTCCGTGTGGATTATTTATGACTTTCCACTAAAGTAATGGTCCGAGTGAAGGAGATGCGATACTCAGGTCTATGGAAGAGTAAGTTTTCTTGGCAAGGTTATAGTATGTTGCCTCTTTTCTATTCAACAGACAAGCACCTGATGAAATGAGGAATTGTTTAATGAGACGACCTCGTGCATCACAGCGAGAGTCACCCCAAAGATGATTAGGTGCGTTTAGGTTCCCAAGGACCAGATAAGGTTCAGGTAGCTCGTCTAATAAAGACTAGAATTGAAGTTCTTAAAGACGGTGGGGCGGAGGTATGTACAAAGAGCAGACAGTGACGAGTTTGTTTAGAATAACTGTTTGGACGGCCACCTCCTCGAGAGAAGTTTGAAGGGGCAATTGTGTACATGCTATACCTTGACTAACTGTAACCGCTACACCACCGGATGGTGGCATGGCATCATCTCCATCCTTTCGGAAGATTACGTAGTTATGTAAAAAGTTTGTGTTTGTCCGCTGCAAGTGTGTCTTTTGTACACACAGCACTCTAGGATTGTGTTCATGGAGGAGTTCTTGGAAGTCATCGGGGTACAAAGAGTATCCTGTGTTGGAGTGAGCTCGTTAATTCAGGTGGCAGGACGGTCGCCCGGCCCCGTTATTGGTTTCTTATTTTTCTTGGCGAGCTCCAAGGAGCCGCGCCACACTTTTGGTACCAAGGGTACCGTTGTATCCATTGCCTCCTCAGAGGCACTGTGTGCCCGCACATGTGAACTGGTGGTTCAGATTTTAGGCCTCGCCTGGTGCGGGGAGGCCTTGAGACCAGAGGACCCTGGAGTCTGCGGCCTCGATTCACTAGGAGGCGGAGTAGACTGAACTACTGCCGCCTTGGGGGCAGGCGCCACAGCCGACGGCTCGCTGGGCGCTGGCCGAAGGGGTGGCGAGGGCTGGTGTGGCGTTGCCCCCTGACGCGCCGCATCAGCATATGTAGCGCCGTAAAATGGCGACACTCTTCGTCTTGCTTCTTTGAATGTAATATTTTCTTTAATTTTCAATGTGGTAATTCCTTTTTCTTCGTGTACCCTGTTTGAATACTTTCTGACAGATTACTGGAAGCGAACGTGAGTATTAGGTGTTTCGTTGGTGTTACCTTGTTGTGTCTTCTAATAATGATTCTTTGTACATTGGTCACATTCTGACTCTTCCAACCCTCTAGAAGTTTCTCTTTGGTCAAGCCGAGCAAATCAGCATCAGATACTACTCCAAGGGTTGTGTTCATAAATCTGTGTGGCGTTACAGTGATGGGACCCGCAGGACGCGGGTTCGAATCCCGGCTGCGGCGGCTGCATTTCCGATGGAGGCGGAAATGTTGTAGGCCCGTGTGCTCAGATTTGGGTGCACGTTAAAGAACCCCAGGTGGTCTAAATTTCCGGAGCCCTCCACTACGGCGTCTCTCATAATCATATAGTGGTTTTGGGACGTTAAACCCCACATATCAATCGTTACAGTGATGGGAGTGTCACCAAAGTTGAAAGATTCCGTAGCTTTTCAAACTGTTCTTTTTCCTAAACCTCAAAGAAGAGGTCACCACTGGCCATTTTGGTAACTTTGTACCCGGCTCCAAGAGTTTCTGTGAGACATCTGGCTACTACAAATGGGGATACAGTTCTGGCTTGCTTGCTGCTTATCTCACTATGTATAACATGAAAATGGGGAAAGTTTTCATTTGATCGATTGAAAAAGCCAAAATCTTCGGTGTGTACGCGCTTTAAGGCGGTAAGATCACTTAACGAGGAAAACGCTGTATGCATTTCAGTTTAATTCTCTTCAGAAGCGTTGGCGGCCACCCACCATGGAGCCCAACAAGGGGCGCAACAAGTTTGCGGATGCTAAAACCTGCAGACGCCAGCCGTAAAACGCTACTATAACCCAATGCGCCTAGACTAAGGTAGGCTATTTGCACAGGGTTAACCCTAGCCGCCAGGAAGTTTGGAAGTAAGCAGAAGAGTGTAGAAGACAGGACAGATAAATTGTGAGAGATAAAGACGAAGATGTAGGCAGAGAGAGCTAGGAAAAGGCGACTGCCGATTTCCCCTGGGTGGGTCAGCCCAGGGGTGCCGTCTACGTGAAGCCGGGGACAAAGGGGTGTGTTGCCTCTGCCGTGGGGCTTTAAAGGTCCAATAACCTGCGTCGGCTCAACCCCCACGATCCCCTTTTCCCCGGACACGGCAAAGCCACGCACGGCTAGTTGTGGGAGGGAGTAGAAACTCCCCCGTTAGCTCGGGTCCGTGGTGTCGCTACACACCAAACGCCTACTTGCGCAGGCGCCCCTGCGGGGGTTCCGCGACAGAAACACGGTATAGTCGCAGTTATACTGGTGCGCTGGAACCTGTGTCGATGCAGTGAAAAAACTGGGAGTTTGGCCAAGGGTGAGTTGAGCAACGTCAAAGGATTCACGGAACTGGTAGAACAGCTGAAGAAGCTCAGAGCGATCAGATGGCGATAGTCCGTCGGCAATGGATGAATCGAAAAGTTCGGAAGGTGGTACATTGGAAAGGTTGAGGGCACTGATGGCTTCGTAGTCACCGGAACAATCTGGTGGCATGGTAAAAAAATTTTTTTATAAATGGCATGCACATGTCCAAGAGATTCACCTTGAAACAGTTCGATGAAATACGGAAGGGGATTGAAGATACCCAGAGCACTGTTTCCTTCAGAAATGGAGAGGGTTGAATAAGGCAGAAGTGATCTTCGACTAAGAAATAGGCTTGATGGTTCAAAGAATGCAGCTTCGTCCCTAATGCCGTCCCTGAACACGGGGAGCAACACAGCTGCTGTCGGAGGAATTTCAGTGCCTTCTTTGACGACGAGTTTGTGTACGGCGGGCTGAATGAAAGTGGTTGGTTGGTTGGCCGTAAAACGGGAAGAATTCAAGTTCCAATCTCGCACAATCATTAACGGCGTGATTACACGATAAAAAATCCCATCCAAGTATGATGTCGTGCGAGCACGATGAAAGGACAGTAATCTCCACAGTGTAGTGTTCCTTCGCGATGATCAGTCGGACAGTACAGGTGGCTACAGGCTGAACCGGGTCCCCGTTCGCTGTTTGCAAGGACATCATGTCAAGAGGCGTAGTCACTTTTTGCAGCTAGCGGCAAAGTTTAGCGTCTATCACGAAAACGGCAGCACCGGTATTCACTAGAGCTCGAGTACCTCCTACAAAAACTTCGACAATATTCGACGGCAATGTCCGAGGACTAGAGCATTTCGACAGCGCCCTTTTTACCTCATGAACTGCGGCGGTTAGTTTCCCTCGTGTTCAGGAGCTGGCCGACGACGCATGGGTGACAGGGAGCGACAAGGGGGTGAAGGTGAGCGACCAGACATAGTACGCGGACCTTCCCTTAAAGACGAGCTTTACTGAGGATCCGAATTTTCCAGACGAGATGGAGGAAGGTTCATGAAGCTGTTCTTTGTCCGGGCGTCTGTGTATCCCGGCAGGCGACGACGGCAGTATCGGGCGATGTGGCCAGGACCGCACACACAGATGGGCTGGTTATCGCGTGTTCTCCAAGTATTGGCGACGAGGGGAGCAGCCCATGCGGCGGACGGGTGGGTTGAGGCTGTGGTCGCAATGGGAGGAACACAAGCGGTGGATGGCTCAGTCGGCGCTGAGGTATGCGGCAGTCCCTGGAACAGCAAGGGCTGGAGTAGCTGCTGCCGCTTTAGTGCCTCAGCGTAAGTAAGAGGCGCGGGGATGGGGGGCTGCTGCAAGAGCACCGGAATAGCCTCGGCAATCTGCTCCTGCACCACATGTCGGAGCATGGGAGCCAATGGTGGTGGGTGTCGCAGTGGCTGTTGCTGCGAGAGCACGTGGCGTTGATCAAAAGGCAGTAGAGAAAGCTACCGAGCCACTTCCTCTCGCACAAAGTCTTTCATTCGTGCGAGAAGGTTTGTCTGGTCAGTCGTGACGTCCAGTGCTGCCACTGGTTGGATTGTCTGGAATGAGCGTCACGTCTGAGCTCATTGAATCCACAATTCATCATAGCTCTAACACAAACTCACTACTTCGGCCACAGTGCTAGGAGACTTCGCGAGAAGCAACTGGAAAACGTCATCATCGACGCCCTTCATAATGTGTTGTATCTTTGCACTCTCGCTTATGGAAACATCGACGCGCCGGCAGACATCGATCACATTTTATATATATGAGGTGAAAGTTTCACCTGGCTCCTGTGCCCGTGTGAACAGACGTTGTTTGGTGCGTAGCTTCCATAAGGCAGGGCGACCAAAAACGACACCTGTCGCCTCCTTGAAGGCGGACCAGTTCGCGAACTCGGTTTCGTGGTTCGTATACAACAGCTTGGTCACGTTGGTGAGATAAAAATTAACAGTTCCCAATTTAGCAGCGTCATCCCACCTGTTGGGTCCTATGACTTTCTCGTATGATGACAGCCAGTCCTCGACATCCTGTTCTTCCGTGCCCGCAAAGATCGGGGGTCTTGCTGGTGAACTGGGTCGGGGCCGCGCAAGGTACTGTTTGTTGGGCAGCGTCCACTTGCATGGTCGACGGCAGGGTGCGGAATCGGAGTTCCAGGTTGTAGGCGATGTGGTTACCCAGCACGATCCACAAAATGCGAAGAGGTTTATTGGGCGAACCTAACGGGCAAGTCCAAGATTTGAGATTGCAACAGGACGAGGATGATGGTGGAGCTCGAGCGCCGATGTCGTGGTGCCTTACTCTGCAATGATGCTTGTTGTTCCCCGGTGTTTTCACCATTCCTTCATTATACACTTCACCTTTCTCATCTGTAAATAACCATCATCAGTCTTCGTGTCGTTCCTCTTCATCGTCGGCGTCATCTTGCTGTTGCTGGAATAAAGCTTCGGCTCAACCATGACATTCCAAGGGATCGGGAAGCACCTCCACCACTATATATTTACACACACACACAATATATATATATATATATATATATATATATATATATATATATATATATATATATATATATATATATATATATATATATATACTATGGGCATTCGTCATGCTCTTCTTTTTATATATGCATTGTCATAATAATAATCATCGGGTGTGTGCACGCTCGGTCTCAGACTGCCCATTCGCTGCTGAGCCCATGGGCTGAATAAACGCTGTCTGAACCCAGACGTCACACGTAGCGGATGTAGTGTTTAGGTCCTCGGTCCTCCCCCACTTCGCTCGACTCCCTGGAGCTGTGTGCAGGCCGCCTATTGCTCCCACAGTCTGGCAGCAAGTCACAGAACGAGTTTGCCGGCACTGCTGCCATCGCTGCTGCCATCGCTGCTGCCATCTCTGCCCCGCCATCTTCAGCCGCGCCTCTTGTTTACGTACACAGCCATGAGCGTGATCCCCCTTTCTTTGCTGGTCTTCGCGGGGAAGACGTGGAGGACTGGCTCGATAAGTACAGCCGCGTGAGTGTTGCTCATCACTGGGACGATAGCGCCAAGCTCCGTTACGTTTCTTTCTACTTCACCGGTGTGGCGAAGACATCGTATTTCAACCACGTCATTGACTCACCCAACGGGGGGACCATCCAGCACCAGCTGCGACATGTTTTTAGGACACCAGGCCATTCGTTCCGCCATCGCGAAGAGGACCCTCGATACTCGCTGACAACATCCCGGCAAATCTTACACTTTCTACATTGAGGATGTCCTTTCACTGTGCCGGCGTGTCAATTCATCTATGCCGGAATCGCACAAAGCGCACCACATCTGGAAAGGCATTGGACCTGTTGCTTTTATAGCCCTCGCTGGGCAAATTCCAGCTACCATCAATGACGTCGTCGTGACATGCCAGCGCCTTGATTCGCTGGACTCCGTTCGTCTCCAACCGGACAGTGTTGACCACCTCAATAAAAACTCGGGCTCTACGGAAAGCGGAAGGGCGAATGGTATACCCCTGGGCAGCAACCAACGGGGGTCCATCGTAAGGGCTCACCACTTTTTTCAGACGCTGGCCTAAATCAAAGCGCATAACGCAAAATGCTGCACCCGTGTCCACCAAAGCATCCACGTACACTCCTTCCACTACCACCGAAATCATGTTGCACGAGCCTGGTGGAGGAACATCAGTCCTAATTTGGAATGCAGTTTTTCCCCCAAAAACTGCATCACTTAGTTTTCCGAATAACTGGCAGTGGCGAATGAGGCAGGCCGAAGTGGGGAGGAGGAGCGGCGAAAGGGTGAATGTGAATGGCGTCGAGAATTCCGGCTGTTTCGAGGTGCACTCGATGTGGGCGGAGAGGGAGACCGGTGCGGAGGTGATGAATGGCGTTGACCTTGATAGTACGAAGTATCTTGTTCTCGCATGTCGTAACCCTGACGCTCATCTTGCTGGCGTTTTCCGCAGAAACGAGAAATATGGCCGTGATAGCCGCAGTAATAGCAGACAGGGTGGGATGAGCACCAGAGTGGGGAGTAGAAGGCGTTAGGGGCACCTGAAGATAGCGTGCTCAGGTGGGCCGAAAAAAAGGTCAGGTGGCATCGAACAGTAGTTGACAGGGGGAGCGGCAGCAACCGACGCGTAGGATGGTTGCGGCAATGTCACGTGTACGTTGCTCGGAGGCGCGGCAGTGACTTGAGCGTAGGTTCACATGGGGTGAGAAACAGGTGGATGTACGAGATCAGGGCCTGTCAGAAGCGTAAGTTCATCCCTAATGAGTTCCCGCAAAGGAACTCCCGAAGACTGTGTTGAACGCGGTGAAGGGGATGGGAAGCCCCTAGACTGCTATTCTCGTATAATGCCCCGGATGAGGTCACGCAGATGGCCATAGGACGTGGAGGGTATCCGACACCATATTTAGTTCGTCGTCCTGACTGACTGCTCTCACCAATTAATTTTAGGGTGGGGCTTTCTTTCTCCTGATTCCGCGACTGTTAGCTGTGGCCAACGCGTCGTCCATCTCACCAACACGGACTGCACGTTCAACGACGACACCCAGAGGCCACTTCGTTTGACAGCTACGGAAGATACCGAATTACCACTAGGTCAAGAGTGAATTGTAACTATTACCTCCAAAGACATCGACCATGGCGACGTCTTGGGCTCACCGTCATTTAGTTGCGTCGGTAAAGACATCATTCTCGCTTCCTGTGTAGTTCGTTTTTTCAATGGTTCCGCACTTGTCACCGCCTTGATTACAACATCCGAAAATACTCCACTTCCTCAGAACACCACGGTGGCCTGCGTGACGGATTCCGAGCCTGCGTGCATCGTGCCACTTCATGCCGTCTCCTCTAACGACAGCTCTAGTGGTGAGCCTGCTTCTCCCGCCTTAAGTGGGGCCATTAGCGACGCCTTGACACCTTCACAGACGCAACAGCTGCTTGCTTTGTTAAAGAAACACGCAAGTTCCTTCGATGTTTACTCCTCGACGTTGGGCTGCACTTCTACTACAACTCATCGAATCCCCACAGTCGGAACATCTGTTGTACGCCGCCGGCCCTACCGCGTGTCTCCGGCTGAGAGAAAAATTATTGAAGAAAACGTAGCTGACATGTTCAAGCGAAAGGTAATTCACCACTCATCTAGCCCTTGGTCGTCGCCTGTGGTTCTGGTTCGTAAGAAAGATGGCTCCGTACGTTTTTGCGTTGATTACAGGGCGCTCAACAAAATCACTCGCAAGGATCTGTACCTTATGCCTCGCATTGACGACGCCCTTGATTCTCTACAAGGCACGATATACTTTTCCAGCCTCGGCCTGCGTTCCAGATACTGGCAAATTCCTATGCACGAAGAGTATAAAGAGGAAACGGCAGTCGCAGCCCCGGACGGGCTATACTAATTCAACGTTATGCCATTCTGGCTGTGCAACGCGCCCACTACATTTGAGCGCATGATCGATACCGTGCTGCGTGTCGTCAAATGGAAGACCTGCCTCTGCTACTTGGATGATATCGTCATTTTTTCGTCAACGTTTCCTCAGCACCTACAACGTTTGGATGACGTTCGGACATGTCTTGCCGCCGCTGGTCTCCAACTCAACACAAAAAATGCCATTTCGCCACAAAAGCTATCGCGGTTTTGGGCCACGTCGTGACTAAAGACGGAATCCGGCCGGATCCGGACAAAGTTGCTGTGGGCCTTCGCTTTCCGTGCCCCGAAAGGCCGAAGGAGTTGCGATGTTTTCTTGGTGTCGCCTCCTATCATCGACGTTTTCTACGCAACTTTGCATCAATAGCGGCTCCACTGCACCAGCTTCTTGCTTCCGACGTGCTCTTTCTGTGGTCGGAAGAATGTCAAACAGCATTCGACATTTTAAAGAGTGCCCTCACGTCCGAACCTGTACTCCGCCACTTTGATGAGTCCGCACCGACCATCCTACATACGGATGCTAGCGGCCGTGGTATAGGGGCTGTTCTGCTCCAACGTGACACCTCTTCACAAGAGAGTAGTTGCATATGCCGGTAGAGTTCCAACTGCGACCGAGAAGAACTATACCATAACTGAGCAGGAGTGCTTAGCTGCGGTCTGGTCAGTGCAAAAGTTCCGTCCCTATCTCCACGGCCGTCATTTTACGATAGTTACGGACCACCACGCCCTATGCTGGCTTTCCATGCTGAAGAACTTGTCTGGACGCTTGGGTCGGTGGATTCTACGTTTACAGGAGTATGACTTCGATATCACTTACAAGTCAGGTAGAAAACAACAAGACGCCGACACCCTTACGCGCTGCCCGCTACCATATACCCAGCTCAGCATCGGTCAAAGGTCGGCCATCACTTCCACTGCAGCGCCCACGCTTGCCTCAATAGACCAGCTATTCTCGGATGACAAGCGCACATTTCACTCCTGCCAGTTGACTGATCCGTACTGTAGGCGTACTATGGATTAGCTCTCAGGAGCTTCCCATCCACTTAACGCGCGACATCGTCGTCAACTCTTGCGATTTAAGCTGGAGAATGAAGTTCTGTACCGTCACATCTACCACCCAGATGGTCAACGCTGGGTTCCCATGCCACCACGCTCTCTTCTACTTGGCGGGCTTAAAGCCTTCCACGACGACTTGACTGCCGGACATCTTGATAATAAAAAACTTACGATCGCATTTGAAGTCGCTTCCACTGGCCTGGTATTTCTACTAGCATCGCGCGCTACTTCGGTTCCTGTGTCCGGTGCCAGCGTCGTAAAATCCAGACAACTGCACCGGCCGCGCCTCTGCAGCCAATTCCGTGCACCACAACGCCATTTGAGGTTGTACGTATCGACATTTACGGCGCTCTTCCCGTCACATCTACAGGCAAACGATGGATAGTGACTGCAGTAGACCACTTGACACGCTACGCGGAGACAACGTCTGTATCAACTGCCTCTGCTTCGGAAGTTGCCGATTTCGTTCCGCACGCCATAATACTGCGCCATGGTGCCCCTCATATATTGCTGAGTGACTGTGGTAGGGTGTTCCTGTCTGAAGTGCTAAATGAAGTATTGCGCGCCTCTGGAATAACACACAAGACAGCTTCAAGCTACCACCCTCAGACCAACGGTCTCACAGAGAGGTTTCACCGTACTCTTGCTGATATGATAGCCGTCTACATTAGTCCAGACCACAAAAACTGGGATACTCTGCTGCCATTCCTCACCTTTGCCTATAACACGGCCGTTCACCTCACCACCGGATATTCGCCGTTCTACCTCGTTTATGGACGTTCCCCTACTTTCTTCCTCGAAGTTTCCTTTTTCAACAGTGACGTCAACTTGTCTCCGTCTTCCAGCGATAATACATTTCGAGACAAGCCCGGTGTCGCGATCGGGCTCACATCAATATGTAAGCGCTACAGCAAGATTGAAAAGTCATTTATGACGCATCCCATCACCTTGTATTTTTCCGACCTGGTGACGAGGGGCTCCTGTTCACACCTATTCGTACACCTGGTCTGTTTTCAAGTTTCAGCCACACTTCGTTGGGCCTTAAATATTTATCGAGCAGATTTCGCCCGTTAATTACGTGTGACCCCACTTGTCGTCCCAACAGACCGCCGTCAACTCACTACAGAGATCATGCACGTGTCTCGCATGAAGCCTTTCAGGCGACGTTCTCTGTCACATTGACTTGCTACGGCCAGGTTGACCGCTTCGATGTGGGGGGAATTAGAGTAGGCATTCGTCATGCGCTTCTTTTCATATATGCATTATCATAATCATCATCATCCGTCTGGGTCCCTGTCTTCATCTTAACTGGTTGTCACCACAATCATCATCGGGTACGAGTGTGCGCGTGCACGCTCAGTCTGAGACTGCTCGCTCGCTGCTGAGCCCTTGGGCTTAATAAACGCTCTCTCAACCCAGACGTTATATATATATATATATATATATATATATATATATATATATATATATATATATATATATATATATATATATATATATATATATATATATATATGAGATCTAACGGACAATAATGCCAAGGATAGGGGAAGTTATTAGAACCAATGTAAAGTAAATAAGAAGAAAAAAAAGTGGGTGAAAAAAATAACTTGCCGTGAGCAGCAACTTGCCTGCGCTCGGCTAGTTATTTTTTCAGCCACTTTTGTTTGTTCTTATTTAC